GTCTTTTTCCTAGGGTAGGGAAATCCAAAACGAGAGGACAAGGTTTAAGTTGAGGGGGAGGAAAGATTTTAAAAAGGTTCTAAGGGGCAACTTTTTCATGCAGAGGGTGGTGCGTGTATGGAATGAGCTGCCAGAGGAAGTGGTGGAGGCCGGTACAATTACAACATTTAAAAGGCCTCCCCGCTTTAGGAAAGATGTTGTGAAACTTGAAAGCGTTCAGAAAAGATTTACAAGGATGCTGCTGGGGTTGGAGGGTTTGAGCTATAGGGAGGGGCTGAATAGACTGGGACTGTTTTCCACAGAGCGTTAGAGGCTGAGGGGTGACCTAATGTAAATTTATAAAATCATGAGAGGCATGGAGAGGGTGAATAACCAAGGTCTTTTCCCCAGGGTAAGAGAGTCCAAAACTAGAGGGCACAGATTTTAGATGAGAAGGAAAAGATTTAAAAGGGACCTAAGGGACAACTTTTTCACACAGAGGGTGGTGCGTGTATAGAATGAGCTGCCAGAGGAAGTGGTGGAGGCTGGTACAATTACAACATTTAAAAGGCATCTGAATGGGTGCATGAATAGGAAGGGTTTAGAGGGATATGGGACAAATACTGGCGAATAGGACTAGATTAATGTAGTATATCTGGTGGGCATGGATGAGTTGGACCGAAGGGTCTGTTTCTGTGTTGTGTGATTCTATGACCCTATGAGTCTGCTCCACCATTCGATCATGGTTGATATGTTTCTCAACCCTATTTTCCTGCCTTCTCCCTGTGACCTTTGATCCCGTTACTCATCGAAAACCTCTGTCTTAAAGACACTCAATGACTTGACTGCCACAGCCTTCTGTGACAATGAGTTCCATACAGTCACCACCCTCTGGCTGAAAAAAATTCTCCTGATCTCAGATCCAAAGGGTGATCCCTTTGCTCTGAGGCTGTTCCCTTGGGTCTGAGTCTCTCCTATTAGTGGAAACATCTTCTCCAAGTCCACTCTACCCAGGATACCCTCCTTGCCACATTAGGTTCTGGGTGAGAGGTCCATGGGTGACCTCCTTGGCCCACCATCAATCAAAGCCCATAACTGGTCAATTAATGCCCACTTTAGGACCTCAAAGTGCTACCTCTCCAGTCACCTGGCACCCCGGTTGGTGAGAAAGATGATGCGTTTCCTGACTAAGAAACAGTGGCACAAACACAGAGAGTGCTGGAGCAACATCTGTGGAGACCGGAACGGAGTCAATACTTCCAGTCCAATATTAAGACTGAGAGAGATAAATCAATTCTTGATCAGTGGGGGAATCAAAGGTTATGGGGAAAACACTGTGAAGAATGTCAAATCAGTCATAATCCTATTGATGGTGGATCAGGCTTGAGGGGCTGAATGGCATACTGTTTCTTACAGCATTATGGACTGTTCATCACAACACGAAGGAAAGCTGCCTGATGGGATCTCCAAAGGACTAGACCTGAGCCAGTGGGATTTAAGTCCAAAGGAGAACTTTGACGTGTTGGCTGGGTCACTGTGCCTTAATCATTTCTGGTGTGTTGAGACAATGTGGCCCCTACATTTATATTCTCACTACATAATCTCCTGGTGGTTTGATGCAACTGATTGGCTTGCATGCCAGTTTCAGAGGGTGGATGAGAGTCATTCACATTGCTGTAGGTTTGGAGTCATGTGTTGGTTAGATATCTGTATGAATGGACATTGCCGTGCATGCTGATGTTTATTTAAAGACAGCAGACTTCCTGCTTTAAAGTTTTGCAGCCTCACCCTGCTAATATCCCATATTATGGATCTTTTCCAATGTTTACACAGATGTATCCAGTTGTTTGTAAAATCTCTGTGGAAACATTCATCGGTCTTGAGAGCCAGTAGTTTATGTAAATTGCTGAGCCCTGCAGAGGACAATGCTCCCTGAATGTCATAGGGGCTTGATCCCTCAACCATGATCATTCCAGTGAGTTGCTGCTGAGTGAACAGCAATCAGCATCTTCCCACAGCTGCTTTGTACAGTCGCCGAGAAACGTAGGAGCAGGAGTAGGCCATTCAGCCCTTCAAGTCTGCTCCACCATTCAGCATGATCATGGCTGATCATCCAACTCAATCTCCTGTTCCTGCTTTCTCCCCATACACTTGTGGGATTTGCGTAGATAGGTGATAGCTTTCTTTTGTCGGTGCAGACTCGACGGGCCAAAGGGCCTCTTCTGTACTGGATGATTTTATGTCTCTATAACTATATTTAACTCCTTCTTCAAACATTAAATGTTTTGGCCTCAACCGCTTCCTGTGTCATACAGCCTCCTGGTTGAAGACATTTCCCCTTATTTCAGTGCCAGGTGGCACAGTGGCTCAGTGGTTAGCACTGCTGCCTCACTGCACCAGGGACCTGGGTTTGATTCTACCCCTGAGTGACTGTCTGTGTGGAGTCTGCATGTTCTCCCTGTGTCTGCGTGGGTTTCCTTCCACAGTCCAACAATGTGCAGGCTAGTTGGATTAGCCATGGCGGGTACAGTGGAGAGAGACAGAGGGTAGGGCAGTGTTGAAGAGAGGTAGCGCTGTTGAAGACAAAGGATCAGCTGTATAAATGATCCTATTATCCTACTCAAAGATGAACTGTGATGCGCCCCAGAATGGGACAACATTCCTCCCTCAATCACAAGAAACAGACTAGTTGGCCATTCATCTCATTTGGCATGTTGTCTGCCAATGTAATAATAGTGAATAACCTTGAAAATTAATTAATTGTTGTAATTTTCTTTGGAGGGTCATGAGATGTTATTTGTTTTTTCTCTTTCCTTTCAATTTATTTTGTTCATTTGTTGTCTTTTCTAAATCTTGAGTGGGTTAGAATCAAGACCAACTCTTCCATCTTCTAACCCCAATGTGTTCACATTTTGACATTACAGCTTCCCACGCCTCCATTTGTCTCTTCCTCTTGAAACCCTTCTTTCTTGCCTTATTACTTGTCAGCTTTTGGTCTGGCAACATCCCAACCTCAAATTCTAGCCATTGGTTTCATTTCCCTCTATGAGCTCCCTCCATCCCATCCCCCACCCTTGTAATCTCCTCTAGCTCTACAACCCTGAGATCACTGCATTCATAGAGGCAGAGGATCATAGAGGTCATGCCCTTCAGCCCATCATGTCCACACTGGTCAAAAACAATCCTTAACTATTCTAATTCCATTTTCCAGCACTTGCCCCATGGCCGTGTATGCCTTGGCACAGCAAGTGCACACCTAAATATGTCTTAAATGTTTATGAGGATTTCTGCCTCACTCACCTTTACAGCCAGTGAGTTCCAGATTCTCACCATCCTCTGGGTGAAGAAGTTTTTTACCTCGCACCTGTTCTAAACTTTCTGCCCCTTACCTAAAATCAATGGCGCGGTCATTGATCTCTCTGTCAAGGGGAAAAGTTTCTTCCTGTCTACCTTATCTCTGCCCCTCTTAATTTTAAACATTTCAAAACTCTTCCTCCAATTTGTCTTCAAAATTCATCCTCGTCCTGTTCCCCCTCCTCCCTACCCATCCCAGATTTTCGTCGTTCTAACATTGACAGCCATGCCTTGAGCTGCCTGGACTCTAAACTCTTGAATTCTGTACCTATCTGCTAAACTTTCCAACTTCTTTAAGGCATTCCTTGAAGCATTTTCATTGATCTAACCTCTTGGTCAAAAGTGCAAATATCTCCTCATGTAGCTGGGTGTCCATTGAGAATTCATCTTGAAAATAGCGTGCTCACTACACAAAGGCCACTACATAAATTCCAGTTCCCAATTATCTTTAGCAGGTTATGTTTCTCATCTTCACAGGCGGCCCTCACCATGGGCAACCTTTTAGAACTCTCAGTCACAAAAAAAAGTTTGGACTGTTTGTGTGGAACACAGTCCCAGAAGGTTCTAGTGAATGAGTCAATTGGTCTTTATCATTTTGGGAATGGTGGGGGTAGATGTTGATTTGAAATGTAAGGAAAAGGGGAAGAAGACAGTCAACAAGGATTAAAAGCATAGAGATGCCTTGGTTAAAACAATGGCACAGGGAGCTCGAGGGACCAAATCTACAAATGAAACGTCTTAATTGTGTAACGTTTTTATGAAAGCTCCTAACTTTTTTTTATTCTTCTATTGGATGTGGGCATCACTGGGATGGCATTCCTCATTGCTCTTGAACTGAGCAGCTTACAAGGCTGTTTTGGGGGCCAGTTCGAAGTCATCTCCTTGACATTGACCTGGAGTCACATGTAGGTCAGACTGGGTGATGATCCCAGATTTCCTTCCCTAAAGGCCATCCACAGACCAGATGGGTTTCCACATTAACCTGGTGACAGTTATCATGTTTGCCATTACTGAGACAAGTTTTCAATTCATTGAATTCAAATTCCACCCAGTGCTGTGATGGGATTCAAACTCATGTTCCCAGAGCAGTGGCCTGGGCCTCTGGATTACTGGCCCAGTGACATTATAACTATATAGCTACTCAACTCCCCCTCCCACCCCGTTAAATTGGCTCAGCGCCAGGGTTTGATTCCAGCCTTGGGTGACTATCTGTGTGGAGTTTGCATGTTCTCCCCGTGTATGTGTGGGTTTCCTCTGAGTACTCCGGTTTCCTCCCACAGTCCACACATGTGCGAGTTAGGGTGGATTGGCCATGCTAAATTACCCCATAGCATACAGGGATATGCAAGCTCGGTGGCTTAGCCAAGGGAAATGTGGGCTTACAGGGATAGGGGAGAGGGAGTGGGATGCTCTTCAGAGGGACTGTCTGGACTTGATGGGCTGAATGGCCTGCTTTCACACTGTAGGGATTCTATGATTCTATTGTGGCAGACCAGTTCAGATAAAGAAAGCTTAGTTTGAGAAAGGTGGTGAAATCATCAGTGATATTTTCAGTAGTGGTTTTGTCCAAATGACCAGACATTATCCATCACAAGATGGTACAAGATATAAACACGTAATCTGACAGAGCACTGTCCTGAGGTTAAGAGCCAGCCAATAGTACTTACTGTGATCATGTGAAAATACAAACAGGGATTGCTTTGTTAGCATTGAAACAACTTCTGCATAGCGTCCACTGTGTTCTCCTGCACCGTGTATGATCATCACTAACGCCCTGGAGGAATTAGAGGACATAAGAACTCAGCAATGGAACACCAGATATGAAATGTGTTGCAACGTTGTAATTAAGCCAGTTTCTGATCCATCTCGCCAAGTTTTCCTCAATTCCATGTGCTTTAACCTTCTTATTCAGTCTCCCATGTGGACCTTGTCAAAATCTTGTCAAGATCCATATAAACTACATCAACTGAGCTTTCCTCATTCACACTGATTTGATCACATTTTCAAAAAAATTCTAACCAATTTGTTAGGCATGACCTCCCTCTGACAAAGCCAAGCTGACTAAGCCTAATTAATGCATTCCTTTCCAAGTGGGTATTAATTCACTGCTTTAGAATTTTCTCCAATTAGCTTTTTTTTCCCTGAATTCCGTACCTACCTTCTCCTTTTTGAGAGTGAAGACTGAAGAGAAATATTCATTTACCATCCTTCCAATATCCTGCGGCTTCGCACACAGATGGTCCCCTTGGTCCCTAATGGGTCCTACTCTTTCCCTGGTTAACCTCTTCCCTTTAATGTACTTATAAAATATCTTAGGATTCTCACTAATCCTGTTTGCAAGTCCTTTCTCATGCCCCTGTTTTTGCTCTTCTAATTGATTTCTTAAGTTCCGTCTTGCACTTCATGTTTTCCTCTAGGGCCGCAGCTGAATTGCTCCCTTTGGACTTGCTAAAGGGTCTGTTCTTCTTCTGTATCTAGTCCTCAGTTGTCCTAGATATCCAAGGTTCTCTGAACTTATTGCTCCTACGCTTCCCTCCAAAGGGCACATGTTGGACCTGTATGCTACCCAGCTGCCCATTGCTCTGCTGTAGCCTTAACTGCAAGGAGCTGTTCCCAGTCTACTGTGGCCAGATCCCGCTTTATTTGAATTAAATTTGCCTTCCTCCAGTCCAAAGCCATCTTTTTCAGACCATCTTTATACCCGTCCTGAACAAATTTGAACTGTATCACGTTAGCTATTGCTAAAATGTTCCCCTACTGCCACATTGAACACTTAGAGCCATACAGTCATTGAAATATGCAGCATGGAAACAGACCCTTCGGTCAAACTCATCTATGCCAACCAGATATCCTAAATTAATCTAGTCCCATTTGCCAGCATTTGGCCCATATCCCTCTAAACCCTTCCTGTTCATATACCCATCCAGATGCCTTTTAAATGTTGTAATTGTACCAGCCTCCACCACTTCCTTTGGCAGTTTCTATTTCCTGCATTGAATACACAACTTGAATACACTGCTGAGGAAGTGTGTGTGCCAAGATTCCACTGGAGCAATGTTGTGCTGAAGAGGTTGTGGGGCTCTCTATGTCTGATGGGAAAGCTCTCACTTTGACGGCACATGGAGTTGGTTTGTGGCCATTCGCAGAGTCATAGAGTTGCACAGAACCTTCGGGTAAACTGGTCCATGCCGACCAGATATCCTAAATTAATCTAGTCCCATTTGCCAGCATTTGGCCTATATCCCTCTAAACCCTTCTTATTCATGTACCCATCCAAATGCTTTTAAATGTTGCAATTGTACCAGCCTCCACCAATTCCTCTGACAGCTCATTCCATACACGTACCACTCTGTGTGAAAAAATTACCCCTTAAGGCCCCTTTATGGCTTTCCCCTCTCACCTTAAACCTATGCCCTCTAGTTTTGGACTCCGTTACCCTGGGGAAAAGATCTTGACTATTCACCCTATCCATGTCCCTCATGATTTTATAAACTTCTATAAAGTCACCCCTCAGCCTCCAATGCTCCAGGGAAAATAGCCCCAGCCTATTCAGCCTCTCCCTATAGCTCAAACTCTCCAACCCCGACAACGTCCTTGTAAATCTTTTCTGAACCATTTCAAGTTTCACAACATCCTTCCTATAGCAGAGAGACCAGAATTGAACACAGTGTTCCAAAAGTGGCCTAACCAATGTCCTGTACAGCTGCAACATGATCTCCCAACTCCTATACGCAATGCACTGACCAATAAAGGCAAGCGTACCAAACGCCTTCTTCACTGCCCTGCCTACCTGCGATTCTACTTTCAATGAACTATGAACCTGCATTCCAAAGTCTCTGTTCAGCAACACTCCCCAGGACCTTACCATTAAGTGTACAGGTCCTGCCCTGATTTGCCTTTCCAAAATGCAGCACCTCACTTTTATATAAATTAAACTTATCTGGCTTCTTTCCCCAGAACCAGATCCAGCACTGCACCGTCCCTTGTTGGGCCTTCTAGTTATTGATACAGAAAACTCCCCTGGATACATTTGAAGAAATCCACCCCCTCTAAACCCTTAACTATGACTATCCCAATTTATGTTGGGAAAGTTGAAATCTCCAAGTATAATTACCTGATTATTACTCTTACAAACCTCTGTGAACTGTAAGGGCCTTTAACACACTCTCAGCAAAGTATCTGACCCTCTTAACATTCCTAAGTTTGATCCATACAGCCTCATTTGATGTCCTTTCCAAGATATCATTTCTCCTTGTTGCAGTAGTTGACTCCTTAATTAATAGTGCTACACCACCACCCTTTTACACCCTCCTCTGTCTTGCCTAAAGATCATATACCCCAGAATGTTGAGTTGCCAGTCCAGCCCTTCCCTCAACCATGTTTCTATGCTGGCAACAATATCATACTTCTACAGGACCATCCACAACATTAACTCATCAGTCGTACCTATTATACCCCTAGCATTAAAGTAAAGACCATCCAGCTTTACTCTCTTGACACTCAACATAGCTGATCTCACTTTCATTTGCTTCCTTTGCTGTAGCATGATATGTCTCTGTTTCATCGAAATTCTGTGTCCCCTCCCCCTGCCAGACTAGTTTAAACTCCCCCCAACAGCACTAGCAAACCTACCTGCAAGGATGTTGGTCCCAATGTGGCTCAGGGGCAGACTGTCCCATTTGTGCATGTCCCACCTTCCCCAAAAATGGTCCCAGTGATTTAAAACCCTCCCTCTTGCACCAACCCTTGAGCCACGCATTCATCTGTCCTATTTTCTTATTTCTAAACTTGCTAGCACATGGTGCCAGGAGTAATCCAGAGATTACGACCATTGAGGTCCTGCTTCTTAATCTTAGGATTTGGGCCCTAGAATTTTTTTAAAGGATCTGTTCACAATGGGAGATAGGGTGAATTGTTTTTTTTCTGAAGAAGGGTCTAGGCCCGAAACGTCAGCCTTCCTGCTCCTCTGATGCTGCTTGGCCTGCTGTGTTCATCCAGCTCTACACCTTGTTATCTAGGGTGAATTGACTTTTCTTTCGAGAATATTGCTAGTAGTTCTATCTAGAACATTGTTGACTGCTTTAAAATGTTGTGGGATGTCTCACGTGGAATTAGTCACAGCTGTCAAGATGTAAACAGAGTTTTCGGAGCAGGCTGTTGGATGTGAATTAGCCTGAATCCTTCTGCATGAGATGGAAGCTTTTAATAAAATTGTTTCTTTTCTCAGCCTCTTCAGTCACAAGGCATCAGCCTGACAGGGACAAGTCTCTAGGAAGAATTCCATAATTGTAACAACATTGAGTTAGCAAACAGGGCAAGATTGGCACTAGATAATCGAACTGTGCAGTACAGCCAGCAAAAGTACAATGGGCCAAAAGGACTCCTTCTGCATTGTAATAATTGTATGATTCTATGAAGTGCATGACCTATTGAGTGTCTTCTTCACTTGTTAATGCATCTTGTTTCAACTATATTTTCTGACAACGCATTCTGCAACCTCCTGACTCTCGAAGTGAGAATGATTGAGATATATTGATGAAAGGTAATTGATCTGAATCATTAACTCTGTTTCTCTGTCCATAGACATTGCCAGACTGGCTGAGTGTTTCCAATATTTTTATTGCAGAGTTCCAACACCAGACAGGAAAAAAGCTGGTGATGAGATCGTTCACAATGTTTAACATTGGAAAATACTTTCCTCCACTTCTTAATATCAGTGAATTATAGATTGAGTTCTTTGACAAGGTGACACAGGCAGTGGATGAGGGTAGGGGTGTGGATGTTGTATATTTGGACTTTCGGAAAGCATTTGATACAGTGCCAGATGGCAGGTTGGTTAGCAAGTTAGAATTGTTTGGGATTGATGGGTTCTTGTCAGCATGGATTGAAAGTTGGCTAAAAGATTGGAAACAGAGGGTAGGTACAGATAGGCCTTTCTCAGATTGGAGATGAGTTGGAAGTGGCGTTCCCCAGGGATCAGTGTTGGAACCCTTGCTTTTTCTGATTTATATAAATGATTTGGAGATGGGTGTTGAGGGCAAAATCTCTGAATCTGCAGATGATACTAAGCCAGGGAGAATAGTGAATTGTGAGGATGATGTTGAGCGACTTCAGAGGGACATTGACAAGTTGGCCAAATGGGCGGAGACCTGGCAGATGAATTTTAATGCAGAGAAATGTGAGGTAATCTAGGTTGGTAGAAGAAACATGGAGAGACAATACAGGCTCAGTGGTACAACTCTGAGGTGAGCACAGGAGCAGAGGGACCTTAGGGTTCACATTGCAAGCTCTCTGAAGGTGGCCAGGCAAAGTTGAAACTGTCGTCAAGAAGGTTTATAGGATCCTTGCGTTTGTGAATAGAGTCATAGACTATAAAAGCAAGGAGGTGCTACACCTCTACAAATCATCGGTCTGGCCACATTTGGAGTATTATGTTCAGTTCTGGGTACCTTATTTAAGGAAGGATGTCAAAGCCACAGAGAGCGTTCAAAGGAGATTTACTAGAATGATACCGGGAATTAAGGATTTTAGATAGAAGGAAAGATTGGAGAAACGAGCTTATTCTCCTTGGAGCAGAGAAGATTAAGACGTGGCCTTATTGAGGTGATCAAAATTATCAACAATTTTGACAGGGTAAAGAAGGATATTCTTTAGTTGGTATGTCAATAACTAGGAGGGGGTCACAACTTCGGGCGTGTCAGTAACAAGAGCTAAGACTGGAATGAGGAGAAACATCTCTTTTCAGAGGAAGGGTCACTAGACCTGAAAATTTAA